TGAACATATATATTGATATGTGAGTGTGTGTCGGTATATATAATATATATATATATATATATATATATATATATATATATATATATATATATATATATATATATATACATACATACATACATACATACATACATATATATATATATATATATATATATATATATATATATATATATATATATATATATATATATATATATAAATATATATATATATATATATATATGTGTGTGTGTGTGTATATATGTATGTATGTATGTATTTATGTAAATATGCACGTATACGTAATCAAGACAACAGAGAAAAGAAAACCTCATAACAAACAAACAAACAAACGAATAAACCCCCCCTTTTCCCCTTCCCCTCCCCCTCCCCCCCTAGCGCGTGATTCTCCCAACCCTCGTGCTGCTCTTCGTCGTCAACGCGCTCGTCGGGAATCGGGAATCAGTCAATCAGCCGGAATATTCCAACCTCATCGTTCCAGGTGAGTGACGTCACGGCTTCCTGGGTTTTGGTTCCGTCGGTGGGGGGTTGTTGGTGGGTTGTTAAGGGTGGTTTTTGGTTGGGTTGTTGGAGGGTGTTAAGGGTGGGTTTTGATTGGTTGTTGAGGGTTGTGTTAAGGGTGGGTTTTTGGGTTGTTGGAGGGTTGTTAAGGGTGGGTTGGTTGCAGTTTTTGGAGGGTTATTAAGGGTGGGTTTTGGTTGGGTTGTTGTGGGTTTGGGTGCAATGTTGATGGTTGTGTGTGGTGATGTTGCTTGTCTGGAATTATGATGGTGGAGATGGTTATTATTTTTTGTTGTTGTTATTATTATTATTGTTCTGTGAGTATTGTTGTTGTTGTTACTATCATTATTATTATTGTTATTATGGTTATTATTACTATTATTATCATTATTACAATTATTTTATTATCATTTCTAATATTATCGCCATCATCATAATCTTTATTATTTTCCTATTATTATTATTACTATCATCTTTATCATTATTATCGTTATTTTTATTATTGCTACTAGTATTATTCATCATCAGCAGCAGTTGCAATACCATTACCATAATATTTTTTATTCTAATCAAAATCATTATCATCATTGGTTGTATTAATTGAAGAAGTAGCAGTCGCATCAGTAGTCCAAATGTTGTAATTATTAATGTTTTCGCATTTTATCATTATTTTGCATTATCTCTACCTTTATTATTCTCACTACCATTACGTTTATTGCTATAATTATTTACAACCACTAGCCACTATCATCATCACCTTGATTTTGATCTTTATCGTTATTATCATATAAACTTTATCACAATATCTCTATTTTTGAACGATTTTTTTCTTATTCATGCCTTTATCATGTAGTCTCTATTTAAGACAGTTTTAGACCTTTTTCACATTTATTTTGTATCTTTATCACATTATCTCTGTTTTAGACTTTTTCACATTCATCTTGCATCTATCTGTTTGTATTTCTATTTTTAGACTATTTTAGACTTTTTTCTTACATGCATGCCTTTATCACGCCACCTCTATTTAAAACACTTTTAGACTTTTTTCACGTTTTTTTGTATCTTTATCACACTATTTCTATTTCACGTTCATCTTATATTTTTCATCACACTATTTCTATTTTACACGATTTTAGATTTTTTTTCATTTATATTCTATCTTTATAATATCTTTATATTCAAATGATTCTTTATCTTAAGTTTTATCACATTCATCTTTCAGCTTTATTCCATTATCTCTACTTTTAGATGATTTTAGATTTTTTTCACGTTCATCTTGCACCTTAATCACAGTATTTTTATTTTTGTACAAATTTGTATCTTTTTTCACGTTTATTTTGTATCTTTATTGTATCTCTATTTTTTTAGACGGCATTAGATTTATTTTCACATTCATCCTGCATCTTCATCACAGTAATTCTATTATTATTATCTTTATTTTTCTTTATTTTGCACCTTTATCCCTAGTGTTCACTTTTTCACGATTTTAGACCTTTTTCACATTCATCTTCAATCTTTATCAACATCATCTCTATTTTCGACGATTTTAGACTTTTTTTCAACATTCATCTTCAATCTTTATTCAACACCATCTCTATAGACTTTTTTCACATTCATATTTATCAACACCATCTCTATTTTCAACGATTTTAGACTTTTTTTTACCACATTCATCTTCAATCTTTATCAACACCATCTCTATTTTCGACGATTTTAGATTTTTTTCAACATTCATCTTCAATCTTTATCAACACCATCTCTATTTTCGACAATTTCAGACTTTTTTACCACATTCATCTTCAATCCTTATCAACACCCTCTCTATTTTCGACTACTTTAAATTTTATCAGATTTTTTTTATCACATTCATCTTCAATCTTTATCAACACCCTCTCTATTTCCTACAATTTCAGATTTTTTTTTACCACATTCATCTTGCATCTGTTTGATATTACTGCTTCGGCGTGTGCCTTTGACAGTGAAAGTACTCGGCGTTGCTTCACATAATATCTTACGCACTTATTCAACGCCGTAATGAGGCTCATTACTCTGCGGGGAAGGCGTCAGGTGCTGTCCCTTTCTCCCTCCCGCTGCCTCTCCGTCGGCGTCTTTGTCTGTTCGTTGGTGTGTCTGTCTGTATGTTTGTGTATGTGTGTGTTTGTCTCTTTGTATGTAGGCTGTTTCTGTGTGTCGAGCTTTCTCGCTT